TGATTATTTATTTTATAAGGAAGAGGATCATTTTGTAAAGATTTGTGAATATTTGTAGACATGGATGCTAATTTACAAGTATATTTATTAATTTCCTCTGCTAATTTCTTATGCCAATAAGCACTAATAACTTCAGAACAAAAATTACACTGATTAGCTAAATGCACTTTTATAGCTTGAGGTCTTCTATGTTTCTAGCTTTCATTACAATAGTAACATATTGCTTTATAGTGACTAGTGGTGCAGACATTTAGAATCTTGAGGGGTAGCTACTCTTAGCACAACTACCATAGCAAATACAGCACTTTGCTATATAAGTAGAAGTGTTGTGTGTCATACAAGTACTGTATGCCATATAAGTATCATATGCTGTGTAAGTACTGTATACCATATAAGTGCTGTACATCACACATTTTAGTTGAACACAGATGTTTGTGTTTACTAGTGTTAGAAGGTCTTTTTGTCTTTCTCAATACTGACACTATCATAAGAGTTACATAGAGATCTATACAATTGTTAAATCATGACATTAAAATATACAATATTATAGCAAAAATAGGAACAGTTATCATCTGATTTCATAAAATAAAATATAAAAATATATTTAAAAGTATATTAATTCTTATGCAAGTTGGCTTCTCTTTCTCTTTATATTGGTAATAATGGTAAGTATTATTTACTAGATAGCTGTATGATGCCATCATGCAAAACCAAGAATGGAACTTAACTAACTACTCAAGGTGCAAGAAAATAATTTTCCTTTTAAAAATTTAGATCATATATAAATATAAAGTTTTTATACTTGCATATATCTTCAAATATAAGCAACCACAATTTTATACATTTTTTGAATCAAATATGAAGGGTTTGCTTATAGTAAAAAATAATTTTACTAGTAAACATAACTTTTGCCAAACTTTTAGTTTCAAAATCTGGTTGTTTTTATTCGAAGTTGCTTATATTTGGAGATATATAGTATTCATTTTAACTACAGTTCTTAGGTAATATTAATTAATTATTTCGATTTGATATATTCTGTTAAAATCATTCTATCCTGGATACACTGTCTTTCTGCTAATTATAATTAGTTTTTTTCTTTAATAAAAGTTACTAAAAGTTGAAAGTGCTGCATACCAATAAATTTTTGATGATGATATTACAATTCATAATGGGACAGTACTATAACATTATTAGTATCTCAAATCAGATAACAAATAACTTTATTAAAACACAATGAAAAGCATATGAGAATCTGCTCACTATCATTACAAGCCCAACCTCCTATAGCTGAAATATTACATCTCCAAAGCAAACAATGCTATTTGAATTAACTGGCTATAAACCTACTCTAATCATATTGAAACTACTATGCTTAAACAAAACTATCTTATAACCTCTGATCAAACTAAAATATCTAAGCATTCGATAAACAGGTTGTTGAGGAAAGATCTATATAATTTCAAAGAGAATCGATCATATAGTCACTCATGAAGTGATAAAGATGCTTCTAAGTTCAACAAATGAGCTTTTGTAGCTGCGAAGCCCAAAACCTATCTTACAAAGGTCTTTGTATTGCTACTATATCTGCAGTGCTTAATTACTACCAAATGAGGTTTTTGCGCCACTACTACAACTGTGGGGTCTAATTACTACTGGCCAAGATTCATATGCTGCTATTTCAACTATAGAGCTTGATGTTACCATTTAACATTTTAAATCAAGTTTCAATCATTGCCTTAGCCGCGGAGTCAAAATGAGCAAAAAATGTCCTCTCACTACTGAACAACAACTTTTAACTACACTAATTATCAAAAACAGTTTCTTTGTCATTTTGTTAACAAATACTTTATTACGTACAACTCTAGAGACCAGTTAAGTGATTAATAATAAAATTTGTAAAGTAAAAGTCACATGAGGCATATAAATTACTATCTGATTCTCATGGAATAACGTCCCTGTGACATACTACCTATTTACAGCACACTACCCTATTTATAGCATACTACCTCATTCATGGTATACTATACCACTCACGACATCTACCCAATGGCAATATGATCTTGAGATAGTACAACTCCTGTATCATGGCCGTAATGCTGTGGGTAGTCACTATCCTGAGAAATGTCTGCACCACTAATAGTAACTATATCTTTTTATATATAATAGGACCAAATTTTATCAAAATTTGGTCTACTAGTTTTTCACTTTTTGGTTAAGGATTTTGAAGTAGAGCTAATGTTATCCGAAGTAGTTGTACTTTCACGACTTAAACTTGCTATCGTTGAAGGTAAAAAAAGATATTTTTTGATTTTTTATTTATTTTTTATTTTTGTCGTGATTAATTATTCAATAAAATATGCTATATTTCAATATAATAATATAATAATTGCATATACATTATAATATTCTATACTATTCATTACTTGTATCACTACTTATATTATGGCATATGACATATATAATACTTACTACATTATTATAGCCTATAACATATTATAATACTTGCTATTTACATTACGACCTATATCAATACTACAAAAGTTGCAATTTTAATAGTGAAAGTCGCAACTCTGTTATCTAAAATGTCTGCACCTATATGTCCCAGTTTCACCTGATTACGATTCGTGACCTGTGTCAGTCATGTGATAGCTGATAATAGTGCAGTGCTTAGTTTTTCGGATAGTTGACTTTTTGTCAACTATAATATTAACCTATTTGCACAAATCATAAAACATGAATTAATTCCGATGATATGATATGAGTGCTGCAGAGCGAAAACCTGGAAGTAAAAATATTAAGTTTTCACTATGGCGAGTTTAGCCCCTGATGAATTCTGATGTTACGTAATTAATCATGTGTATGATCAATTTTTTAGTCTTTTCGATAGTATGTATCACCTTAATATAGAAATGCAAATTAGCTCTATTAATTAATCGATTTTTATTGCAATTAATATAAAATACAAGCCTAAACTGTTTTACGTTACTATTTTAGGCATTTTCTATAACAGTAATCAAACACTTATTAATATTAAATTATAATACGTATTGATATATACTTGTTAATAAATTATAATATTGGTATAATTGTCATTATTCAAAAGAAATTTATGAGCATTCTTAATTTTAGCGTTCGAATTAACTAGAATTTTACTGCTCATGTGTTTTCTAGTTTTTTCAAAACCAAGTGCTTCTCAATTGACTAGAATTTTATAGCCAAAATTTTTTGGCATTCAAATTAACTAAAATTTTACTGCCCACGTGTTTTCTAGTTTTTTTATAACCAAGTGCTTCTCAACTAACTAGAATTTTATAGCCAAAATTTTTTGGCATTCGAATTAACTAGAATTTTACTGTCTACGTGTTTTCTAGTTTTTTTAAAACCAAGTGCTTCTCAACTGACTAAAATTTTATAGCCAAAATTTTTTGGCATTTGAATTAACTAAAATTTTACTGCTTATATATTTTCTAGTTTTTTTAAAGCCAAGTGCTTCTCAACTGACTAGAATTTTATAGCTAAAATTTTTTGGCATTCGAATTAACTGGAATTTTACTGCTCACGTGTTTTCTAGTTTTTTTAAAACTAAGTGCTTCTTAACTGACTAAAATTTTATAGCTAAAATTTTTTGGAGTTCAAATTAACTAGAATTTTACTGCTCATATGTTTTCTGGTTTTTTTAAAGTCAAGTGCTTCTCAACTGGCTAGAATTTTATAGCTAAAATTTTTTGGCGTTCGAATTAACTAGAATTTTACTGCTCACGTATTTTCTAGTTTTTTTAAAACCAAGTGCTTCTCAACTGACTAGAATTTTATAGCCAAAATTTTTTGTAACCTAATTGTCTCCCGATTAACTATATTTGATTGCTTAAATAATAATCTAAGAGTAAACTCAAACATTGATAAATTAATAAAAGCAACTAGTGAATTGTACACAAAAATATATAAAAGAATGAAAATCTTGATCAAAATATATATTCACATAAAGCTTAAATCTACAATCGTTAAAATTATTTTTTTTAAAAAATATTTTTTATCTTTAATTATTATTATAATTTTATTTTTTTAAATTATTTTTTCTTTAATTTTTTTATTTTATTTATTATTTTATTTATTATTTATTTTTTAAATTTATTTATTTTTACTATATATATATATATATATATATATATATTTTTAATTTTTATTTCTTTTCTTGTTATATTGTTAACTTACTAATGAAAATCCTAGAAGATTTGGAATGCTTTCTTGAAACTTTAGACCTTACCTCCATACTAGTTCCAGAGCATAATTATGAGGAAATAGAATATGATAAAGATGAAGAAATAGAATATAGTAATGAAAAAATAGCAGATAACTCTCAAGATAAATCAGAACTAGATTCAAGTAGTGACGAAAGTGTGAAAGATCCTGAAGATCCTGAACAACGTTAGGCTGCTGCTAATAATTTGATTACTAAACTTAGATCATGTTGTTCATGTAAGAGAAATTGCAGTGCAAAGATTTTATTAGATCTATTAAAATCTTTAGCATTAAAAAGTATTAAAATGAATAAAAAACAATGATGTTATTCAATGTTGATACTTATGTCTTTATTTGACAAAAGACCCCACAAAAGACATTTTAACACAAGGTATCAACTGCCATATTTTGGTGAAGTTTGTGGCCTTTTTTTTAGAATGTTTTGGTTATGCAAAAATATGCTTTTTATCATCTTTGTGATTAGGTTCGAGAAAAAAGATCAATACTTCCTTTGCTTTATAGAAATGTCATTCGTTCACCTGTTAACAAGTTACTTGCTAAGATGGTTAATGAAGTAAAATTTTTTATTAGATTAACTGGTGAACAACATGGAGAAGCATTGGCTGTTCAAAAATATACGCGAAAAAAGATAAATGGATCAATAACAGTGCAATATGAAAAGCACAATATTGTGTTTCTTCTATCACACTATTCCTATAGTCGGTTTTTAACTTTTTATAATATAACATATTCAGATAAACTTGTAAGTCATTGGAGCTTTTAAAATATATAGAAGAATGATGCTGAATTAAACAAAATTATTATTAGAAAGCTATCTAAGGATGTGTGCGGCAAATGCATTCTTTTTAAATATGCATTAAAAGAAAACAATAATATAAATGAAGACCTTGATAACCAATTTGCTATGCATGTGCATAATTATTGTGTCATGAAAAAAATATATGAAAGTGATATCCAAATAGCAAAATGTTGTAATCGGTCTTTATTTCATGTTTTTTCTTTTGACTTCGCTCAAAATATAGAGCTGCCCCATAACCCTCAACAACCAGGCAGATGGTACTATTCATTATTGTTAAAAGTGCACCAGTTTGGATTAGTAGATGAAGGTATAGATCATCATTGACATGCTCTTTACATGGAGGCAAAAGCATCAAAAGAGGCAAATGAAGTCACGTCTATGGTACATTTATTTCTTACTTCTGTTGCAGGTAAT